ATGGGGTATGGGTATGACAAATTAACAGAAATGCTAATGGGACGTTGTAAGAGGCTTGAAATTAAAAATTGCCACACTAATCTATCACCCTTTCACTAGTGCAAAGAAAAAAAAAAAAAAAAATTTAGTGCACGAGGTTCTTACCAACGTAGAGAGGGTCAAATGCATACGGTTTCATTTTCATGTAAAAAAATGTTATTTTTCGTAATTTTAAACTTGTGATTCTCGGTTCATAATATAATTCTCTCATTTCTTTAACAAGGTTCGTCTTTCTTTTTTTCACTAATAACAATGGCCTTTTTCTTTCGTTAATAAATGTTTAAAGAAGAATAATATTGTCAAAATTAGCATGTAAATATGTGTGTACAAGTACGCCCATGTGTGGTAGAATACTACGACATCTATCATGACAAATTGACATATCTCAAGTCATGATCTTGATTTCAACCAGAATTATAAGATATAGCATTATATTTGTTAATGTCAACAAAAATTGAGAAAAAAAATTAAAATGGACCATATTCTAAAAATGTCGTGTTTTTGAAGTACAACATTAATTAATACATGAAATCAACTAAACTGCTAATTATAAGATGGGGAACATTTTAAAAATGTCTTATTTTTTTAATGAATAATGCTATATACATCAACTGGTATAACAAACAGATGATGCATTATAATTTTAGAGATTTTGAGTATTTATATTTTGTATAATATGTGGGGTCATAATTTTAAAATAATAATATCATAAATATATGTTGGTATACCAATTAATACGTTTAGTACCACCATTTTTTAATACAATATTAATTAATGCATTAAATCAACTAAATCTCTAATTATTTGAGGGGACCAAGGGCTCGGTTTCTTCTCTTCTTCTTTTGTTTTTTTTAATGTGTGGTTAGGGACCTTTTGTCTGGATCTTTTCTACTTCAAAATCACTGTTATATGATTAATCCAATCAGATCCATTGTATAATGAGAAAAACTAGGGATCATGAAAAAAACTTTCATGAAAATAATCATAAAAAATTTATGACTCTTGAATTACCTTGATTAGTGTGTGGTGCTTTATTTTAAGTGTAATCCAAAGGTCATAAATCTTTCATGATCATTTTCATGAAAGTTTTTTCATGATACCTAATATTGCTCTTGTATAATAAAGGAACAACTAATTGAGACAAAAGAATAAAGGGAAAATAAGTCCTCTTTTAGTTTTAGGAATATGAAATCCTATCAAGTTTCAATATGGATAATTAAATCCTATTTTTCATAATATATTTCTAAAAAATTTATTGCTCCATAATGGTGGATGTTATCTCAATTTTATCCGCCATTTGATATGAAAATATTTTTAATCTAAGTAAAATAATATTTTTTAATTATAAAAATTATGATATTGTATTAAAAAAAACAAAATCCACAATGAAAAAATTATCAAAAAGTTCTATTTTGTTTTGAAAATTATTATTGAATTATATCAAATTTCAAAATTAACAAATAATTTTTTTTATATAAATTGTTATACGTAAAAAAAAATTTAGTTGTTCATAATATTATATTTTATTTTCATTTTATCTTTTTCATTAAAATAAGAACAAAATATTTCATAAATAATTTTAATTTATTAGAAATTTTATAATTAAATTATTTTTAATTGTTCAAATTCTTTTTCATAAAAAAATTATACGCTTTGTTGACCATATTGAAACTTGATAGGACTCACTAGTAATCATAAAAGTAAAATAAGACTTTTTAGTTATTTTTTCAAAAATAAAAAAGGATCTAAATAGAAAATTTGGCATCAATCGTGGATAGTGATAAAATAACACCTACAAATATTATAATCAGTAATGATAAAGACCCTCACAAAACACAATTTCCATAGTCCTCAATTTCCATAGTCCACAATTTTCATTCATGTCACTGTCAGACACAACCTTAAAAGAAATTCAAATACATCAATAATCAATACATCAATAGGGGTCTCAAACATTTTCCTCTTATAATTTAGTTCATTGTCATATGTGGGCATTAAACTAAACTTTCACAAAATGCTTTACTTGTGATTGAATTATTTACTAATTTTTTTTTTTTGAATTAGGAAAAGTTGTGATTGATAAGCACTTGACTTCTACAAGAATAATTTACATGTGCAATAAGACTACAGTTTCAAAAAAAAAAAAAAAAGACCGGAAAAAAACTCAGAATTTAAAATCAATAGACAAAATTCACTTGAAAGTGTGGTCCCAAAATAACAACTTTAAATGTAAGTTATTAATCTAAAATTCATAATAATTTCCTTTTTCTTTTTTCCCTTTTTTTTTCTTTTTTGGTTCTATAGACTTTTACTATAAATGTACAAGGGTGCCAGCTCACTTCCTTGCCAACTGTCAACACAACCAGGCATGTCTTTTGTGGAGAAGATTTGTATGAAAATCACAAAAATAATGAAAAACACTAATTACTGCAGGACCATGGTCCCTTATCCTTGCATATTTTTTGAATAGATAATGATGATATTTATCTTTGTATTTAAACTACAATTCTGCCATTGTCCTTTTACTATATTTTCATATAGACACTAGAATACATAACATGGAAATTATTGGTGCCCTAGAAACAAGAACTTTGTATTTTAAAACAAACCTACAACATAGCATAGAGTGGCACAAAGACTTGATTTTGGCATTTGCAGATAACAATCTATTTAGAAGATGACAGAGTTGGGATATATCCCTATAAATTGTTTGTTCGTCTGCTCAATCACTTTCTATTGCGATTTAATTTTTTAAATTCAAATTAAGATGGTATGGCTATGTATTTTATGAGAACAAGCGTGTTCTGAGAAACGGACAATGCATCCCTAGTTTGTGTATATCCTCGACCAAATGAATTTCATCTTAAACTCCTTTGCACATATGTGATTTAATTCATTCGAGAAGTGATGTGAGATAAGTTTAACCCTCCACTGCACATGTTAACCCTCCACTGCACATGTGACCCAATAGGCTAGAAAAGTGATGAAAGACAAGTCTAACACTCCCCAACAAATGTGGCCTAGTCGCTGATACTAGGTTAAAATTATTGAATACATCTAATTCATAACCAATTAGCAATGGATAGAGTGATCTTTAGATTATATGAGCCAAATTTGAATGGCTTAGAGAAGTAATGTGGAACAAATCTAACAACTAAATCATTGATAATCTCAGGACATAATCTAATGAATGTGAATATTTTAAAATAAAAAATAAAAACAAAAATAAAACAACAAAAATTTAGGGTAGAGGATCTCATGCCTTCCACGATGAGGGTTATATATTCCAATCATAAATCCTTTTCCTCTTGATGTATTCATTCATTGCATCATTATGAAAATTCCAAAATTTTGGTATATAATCATATTATTATTGTATCACGCAATCTTGGTTAGTGGATTTGTACCCTTAGGCATAACAAGTCATAGAGATAGCTCCACCATCCGGGGAGTCCCATGATATGGACTTAATTTGCAACAATATTTTTGTTGCTCACCTGCCCCTAAATTTGGCACATTAAACATTTTGTCTCCTTGGCTTTGGACTCACAAAGCAATCATATTGATAAGGACTTCATAACCAATTATTATATGAGTAAATCTAAGGATTAAAGTATAAAATCTAAACTGTACATAAATATTCCCATTGCATAAGCCTCCAAGTCACTTTAAAATACAATGGCAAGCAATGTGGACCCAATGATCAAGCTCCAATTTGCCATGTCACCATATCCTTTGGTTTGTTTTGTTTTGACATAATGCACCAATGGCATCTCTATAGAAATAGTAGGGTAAACATGACCATTTTTTCCCATTTTGTTATCTAAATTGTTAAATTCTTTTCATTTTGATTCAAATTTCAATGATCGTTATACTTGTGTAACGGAAAATGTCTCGTAACTCAGGTTAACTTAGACCCAACTCATATAATTCATGAAAATAAAAATAAAATACATATTCCTAAAGTATGATAATTTAATCCTTAAAAAAATAATAATAATAATAATAATACATTTTAGTCACGGACATTTCAAAAAAGTTGTTCCACTCAAAAAAATAAAATAAAATTTCTCCCATTCACAATCGGTCACACTATCCACCAAAATGTAGTCTCACAATGGCATAACCTTCACCCCTTCTTTCCCCTTCTCCATGCAACCTTACCAACCCCACAATTGATCACACTTTTTTATTTTCTTTTCTTCACAAAATAATCTCTCTCAATACACAATCTTTAATTGTAAACCATATCCAATTGCAACCAAATACGATCCACTTCCTTCCCATCTAACTTTCCTTCCATCCCAAACATTCCTTATGCTCATATTCACCCTATCAATATCGCAAACCCACCACCTAATGCCCTCCCCAATCCCCGTACTTCTTATTCGAAGCATTTTTGTTTTTCTAATAGTGCAAACCTACTATATTTTTTCATTCTCATCCCATAGGAAGTTGGTTTTTGAGATTGGGTAGGCTTGGGGATGGGTTTTTGGTGGGGATAATTTTGAGATTAGTTTGGGTTTGGGTTTGGGGACCAAAGTGGAAAATCTTAATTTTTTAAGGAATAAAATGGGAAATTGAAACTTCAAAACTGCCCCTTAACCATCCATGACAGATGTTTGTAATTGGACCAAAATGAAAAACAACAAATAGTTCGGAGGCCAAAGTGAAAGAATCATCTTTTGTTTCTTTTTAAGACCAAAGTGAAAAATGGTCATACTTTAAGGGTGAATGTGTAATTTACCCAAAAAAGTATGTCATTTACGAAGAAAAATTATTTAAAAATAAAATTGTACACATCAAATTCACTTTAAATACAATCCCCATAACAATTAAAAATAAAAAGAATAAACGAGATTCATTTTAAATATGACCTATATAATAATAAATTTGAATATGCGTTTAATTTTCTAAATATTTTATCTAGATGACCCAACTTTTCCACTATAAGAAACATGTCTCTCCATAGTTCACTAGGTGAGAGAGAAACTTAAAAATAATGGGCTCCCTTACACAGCACAAACTTCCTATTATAGACTTCACTAAAGAAAACTTGAAGCCTGGTACAAGTTCATGGCACAAGGCAAGCAAACAAGTCCTTTCTGCCCTAGAAGAGTATGGGTGTTTCGTAGCCGTGTATGATGAAGTTTCATTAGATCTTCACGACAAAGTTTTCAACAAGTTGGAAGAGCTGTTTGATCTCCCCACAGCTACCAAAATGCAAAACAAGTCCAGTAAACCTTTGTATGGCTATGTGGGTCAAATCCCAGTAGTCCCACTCTACGAAAGTATGGGGATTGATGATGCAAATACACTTGAAGGAATTCAAAACTTCAGCAAAGTCATGTGGCCTAATGGAAATGATGGTTTTAGGTATAATTCATTCTATTTTCTCATATTAATTTTGTGTATGACTTGATGATTAATGACATAAATATAGAAATCAATCACAAAATATTGTTTAGAAAAAAAAAGATCGGTTTTTGGAACTAGTTTCTGTGTGAGTAGTTTAGACAATCGTTAATAAACCCTAAATCTCAATATTAAACTAGAAACTCCAAACAATATTCTATAATCGATTCCTATGTGTAGTTGAAGTGTTTGATTTTTGAGTAATGCTAAACAAATAAATAAACAAACAAACAAAATTGGCACCACCACCACCACATCCTTTTAGTGACAGATTCTGTATTAAAAAAAAAAAAAAAATTATATTCATACAAAAAACACTACAAAAATAATGTGTAAATGCTTTTTTTGTAAATAAAGTTCTCTTTATGATCATTTTGTATTAAAATGAAAGATTCACATTAAATCACATTATTTTGTATAAAAATTATGTGTTAATATATCATTACTCATATTAATGTTAGAAAATCATTTTCCTCTCTTGATTTTTTGCCTTATTATGTTTATTCTTGGGCTTTAGTGAAGCAATGATACCATTTTCAAAGGCAATATCAGAGTTAGAACAAATGGCGGTGAAGATGGTGTTTGAGAGCTATGGAGTAGAGAAATACTATGAGCCTCACCTCAAGTCGGCCTCGTACCTATCTCGAGTAATGAAATACAGAAAGCCAGAGATGAATGAGAGTAATATGGGTTTTGTAGCTCACACTGATAAGAGCTTTATGTCTATAATTCATCAAAAACAACAAATTGATGGTTTGGAGGTTAAGGCCAAAGATGGAGAGTGGTTTCGTGTTGAGCTTTCTCCTTCATCCTTTGTAGTCATGGCTGGGGATGCAATCTTGGTGAGTAGTCACTATTATCTAGCTCACACACACACACACACACACATATGTGAAATAAAATTAATATTTCTCACTTTCATGATATTGAACTTTTAAATGAAAGACATTCATTGCCTGCTAGTAGCAAGAAAGATTAATTACATCAATCGTCCTCAAAATATATGATGTTTAACAATTTAATTTAATTTTTTTTTTGGTTCTTAAAATATGGTCTATTATATTTTAGTCTCTGGCATCAATGGCATTTAAAATCAATAACAGGAGGAGAGATATTTTCAAAATTTCACATAAAGTCTCAACAAAATCAAAATGACCAACTACATGGTTCCAAAAAAATATATATTTTGTTGCATTTTAGTCACCAAAAATTATGTGTTTTTGTGACCACAATTTGTGCCTTGTTTCATTTGGTCCCCTAATTTTGTTGCTTTTTTATAACAACTACTTTTTAAATGGATCTCAAAACACTCACAATGGTGTGGATCTCACCTCTTGTGATCCATTATGTGATTTGTTTATGTACAAGTGCTTTTTCTTTTAGAAAATTTTCAAATTATCCTTCTTCCTTATTGATTTTGAACAGCACTATATAGTATATTATGCACGCTAAAGCTTTAATATTAAAGTGTAACAAATCGTATACTTTGAAAATCAAAGTGAAAAATTAAAAGATTGAAAACTAAAGTGTAACAAATCACATATTTTACCCACCATTAGTGTAATTAATCCTACTATCTCATTGACTAAATTGTCAACCTGGAATTCGCATAAATTTTTCCTAGCTTTGCCAAATGTTTTGACATCCAGCCTAATTTGTTCTTTTCTCTCTAATCCATAATCCTTATTATTGTTTTGTGGTGGTTAATCTAAGATCCAAAGTAACAAATAGTTTTTTTTTTTTTTGGACCTAGGCATGGAGCAATAACAGGATTCACTCTCCTCATCATCGAGTCATGATGAACGGCGACAAAGACAGATACTCCCTTGCACAATTCTCATTCATGAAAGGGATGGTGAAAGCACCAGAGGAATTAGTTGATCATGACCACCCGTTGCAGTTTAAACCGTTTGATCATATTGAGTTTCTTGAATTCTACAGTAGACCGGAGAACAGAAGGCTGGAGAGTGCTATTAGAACCTACTGTGGCATTTGAGATATGTCTGTTGATCCAATAAAACTTAATCTGTCTTAGATTTCTGTATGTATTTGATAATTTTCCTGGTTAGGTTTGTTAAGGTTATATTTGTAAAAATTAAGGATGTGTGGTCTTTATAGTCCTTTACCTTAAAATGTCATGTTATCTAATCTGTGTAATTAGGTTGTTATGTTTGGTACGCTAAAATGGACTGGAATAGAAAGTGTGCGTTGTTACTCAAAAGTCGGCTTGAAGTATATAATAAAAGCTCTCTTTGATTATATTGTCTTCTGCTTGAATTTTTTTTTTTTTTTTTTGGTTAACATTCTAGGAAGTTAGAGTTATTAGTTTGTTAGTAAAGTTAGTGTATAAAAGTATACCAATTAAAAGGGCTGCCACTTAGTGGCGGAGTCAAAAAATTAGATTAGAGGGGACATTTATTAATTATAATTTTTTATTCAAAAAAAATCCATGAGCAACATTAAAATAAAAATCATTTTATGAGATAAATTTAAATATAAAAAATTACATATTCATTATTAATAACAACAAATCAAAATTCTATAATAGTGTGGAATAGCTTGGTGTTAGATGATGATGTAAGTTTGTAATTTTAGCACAAAAAATTATGGGTCAAAATTCCTAATTTAAAAAAATAAAAACACATCATTTATAGCACAAATTATTATAAAATCTATTTAATTTTAATTTGACAAAAAAAATATTAAAGAGATGACATTGCTTATAAATGATGTGTTTTGAATGAAAATTATTAAACAGTCTTAGAGTATTATATGACGTTACTTACGTGATACTCAAAGCATAGGAAATCACAAATTATGCTAAGAGGTATGTTAACTACTTGAAAGTAATGAGTTCATTACATCCAATCTATAATATTTTTCGCCACACTATTAATTTCAACTATTATATAAATAATATCACATAATGTTCCCAAAGTATCAAATAATTACTTTTTTTTTTTTTTTTTTGAAACAGCAAAAGAAACTTTTATTTATGATCAAACCATACCAGATGAGATTACATCAAAAAAGGAGAGGAAGGGGTTTGGAGAGGAACCAAACCCAAAAGCAGAACAAAGTAGAATAGTCAAAATGCAAACAAGGACCTGCACACGGCTCCTCACACACCATCAGAACACTTCTAAGGGCAGCAGCAAGAGATTCAGCAGACCATAACAACAGCCCAGAACAACATATGAATAGGCCTCAAGGTTGCCTGAAATTTACTCCCAAAGCAGTAGATGGTATGCCTCAAATTGTTCAAAAAATACAAGCAGAACCCAATAAAGAGACAGAGCCAGAACATAGCTGAACTCCCTAAACACCATACAAGCAGCCCCAAACAACCCAAACAGCATAGAGATGAGCTCCAACAGATGAACTCCACCAGCACAAAAGTACCAACTGATGAATTCTAAGAAAAACCAGAAGTACACAGAACCAATAGGGAAGATCTAACCGATAGATGAACTCCACCAGCACAAAGACACCAACAGATGAACTCCAAGAAATTTTGCCCAAGGTCTAAAATTTTTAAAATGCCAGTTGATTATCTATGTTATTCTATCATAACAATTTTCTTGTTCAGGTAGGAGATGGGAAAAGAATTATCTTCTGGAAGGATAGATGGTGCTCCAATAATTGCTTGAAAGATGAATTCTCCACTCTTTACAGATTAGTGATGGAGAAGGAGGTAACTTTGCGTTTAATGCATGATAGAAGGGTTGCAGCAGGGGATTGAAGCCTTCCTTTTAGAAGAAGGCTGTATGAGTGGGAAGAGAGAGAAGTCAGTAGACTCAAGGTGCTTTTGATGTTTGGCTTAAATTGTTGTGATAATCTGGAGGACAAACCAGTCTGGTTGGCTGCAGGCTCTTTTATGTTTTCTGTCTCATCTGTCTATAGGAGTGAAGTTGTCCCCCTTGGCCCCTCCCTTATTACTAGCAAGTTAGTTTGGAACAATCTCGCACCTCCAAAGGTCCAATTTTTCTGCTGGTTAGCATGGAAAAACAGAGTAAAGACAGTAGACTTTCTCCAGAAAATTGGAGTCCTTCAAGCTTCTTCACCAGCCCTTTATGCTTTCTGCAAAACTGTGACTGAGTCTAACTGCCATGTGCTGTTGCACTGCCAATTTTCTTGGAGCGTTTAGGCTGCAATGTTGAATTGGTGGGAGGTGCAAGGAGCCCTTCCAGGATCTGTGGAAGCTATTCTTCATTGGTGGGAAGGTGTGAAGCTTGGCAAGAAAGAAAAATTGCTTTGGAAAGTCATTCCCTCAGCTGTCTTTTTGTCTCTGTGGAAGCTGCAAAATGAGTGTATTTTTCAGGTTGCTAAACCTCAGTTAGAGGACCTGTGTGAGTTGATTAAAATCCGAGTTGCATTGTGGTTGAACTAGAGATTCAAGGGCTTTCACTTTACTATCCAGGATATGAAGATGATACCTTTCCACACACCAGAATAACTGTTGTTTGAAATAGGAGAGGGAGACCAGCTTTTAACATCCAGTTTATATTTGCTGCAAATGATTTGTCTCCACAAAGCATCTTTCTCTTTGGCAAATCTCCACCACCATTTTAATAACAAACAATCATTAACCAGCCTTATTCTTCTTATGCCCAGGCCCTCTTGTTTCATACTCTTTGCTAAATCATTCAATTTAACCAGGTAGATTGGATTTCTAAACCCCGACCCGCCCCAGAGAAAAGCAGCTTGTAGCTTCTCAAATTCTCTTGCAATTACCACTGGCATTTTAAAAATTTCAAGAACTCTTTGTGTTCATCCGTTGGAAAGTCACTCCCTCAGCTGGCATGGCATAAAGAGGTTTTCGGTAGTGTGAATGTAAAGTTGAAGGAAGCTGAAGAGGAACTGCACTTTCTGGACTTAGCTGCTGAATCCAGAGATTTGGATGAGGCAGAAAGAGCTAGAAGTAGAATAGTCAGAGATCAGGTGTGAAGGCTTAGCAAAATGGTTGAATGGTTGTGGTTGCAAAAATCAAGACTCAATTGGAACTTGAAAGGAGATAGAAATACTAGATTTTTTCATGTGATTGCCAAGGGTAGCAAAGTAGAAATGCGATCTCTTCCATATCTGTCAGGGCTACTGTATTGGAAGATCCTACTCAGATTAGGAAAGAAGTCATTGACCACTTTAGAAAGTTGTACACAGAGGATTGAAGAGTTAGACCTAAGCTAGGTGGCCAATTTAAATTAGTCCAAGATTGTCCTGGTTTTGACAGGTTGGAAGCAGATTTTTCAGAGGAAGAAATTAGGGCTGCTGTGAAGGATTGTGTTGGTAACAAGGCCCTTGGGCCAGATAGCTTTAACTTGGCTTATTTTCAAAAATTTTGGTTATTGATAAAAGCTGATTTACTGAAGTTTTTTAAGGAATTTCATAGGCATGAAAGGTTGGTGTTGGGTCTTAATAGCTCATTTATTTCACTAATCCCAAAGGTTGAAAATCCAGTGGGGCATGGAGACTATAGACCTATCAGCCTAATGGGTTCAATATACAAAGTCCTTACAAAAGTTTTGTCTAGTAAGCTAAAAAAAGTGCTTCCTCATATCATCAGTGATACTCAATCAGCCTTCATAGGTGGAAGAAACATTCTGGATGGTGTGCTAATTGCAAATGAGGCGGTTGATGGCTGGAGAAAAACCAAAAAGAGAGGTCTGATTATCAAGCTTGATTTTGAAAAGACTTTTGATTCTGTTAATTGGTGTTTCTTATCATCCATGCTCTTCAGTTTTGGGTTTGGTACAAAATGGATTAGATGGATAAAAGAATGTGTTACTACAGTATGAAATAATTATTTGTTGTGAACAATATAATAAATTGTTATCCATAGAAGCTAAAAAAAGTGCTTCCTCATATCATCAGTGATACTCAATCAGCCTTCATAGGTGGAAGAAACATTCTGGATGGTGTGCTAATTGCAAATGAGGCGGTTGATGGCTGGAGAAAAACCAAAAAGAGAGGTCTGATTATCAAGCTTGATTTTGAAAAGGCTTTTGATTCTGTTAATTGGTGTTTCTTATCATCCATGCTTTTCAGTTTTGGGTTTGGTACAAAATGGATTAGATGGATAAAAGAATGTGTTACTACAGTATGAAATAATTACTTGTTGTGAACAATATAATAAATTATTAGCCATAGAACATGTTAAGAAAAAAAAGAAGAAAATACATTTTATACATGACAATAACAAAAAAATTTTTTTGCAAAACTGAGGGGGGGCATGTGAGCCCCCTTCGGCCTATGCTACCTCCGCCCTTGCTGCCACTGGACCATCAGTTTGAACCTTTGATCTTTCCACACTGCATTCTAAGGTGCAGTTACACACCAACTTGCCACAAGGGCGTTGGCGACTCAATTTGAATCTACTTTTGATTTGCATATCCAAAAGAAACTTATGTTAAGAATTTGTAACACATAGTACAAATGAAACACAAAAACTAAGCGCACACAAAAAATATAAGATTTACGTGATTCATTTTAAAATTAAGATTATATTCATGATCACTAAAATTTCTCTATGATACTAGCATTTTTTTAGGCTTTGCTTGAATCATGGAATTGGGTAGAAAATTGGAAAAGAAAAAAGAAAAAATGTGAGGTAAATGTGAATGAACTTGTATCGCCCCCAAAAATAATTACATAATTCATCTATGAATAATTAATACCAGATGACATAAACAAAATAATAGTTTTTTATTAATCAGAGTTAATTTACAAAAGTGACACATGCAATATACATTCATAAGCTCTACTTTGAATCTATGGCATGTGATACCAACTTAATGATCAACAAAATAAATGCCATACATGCTTACATCTTTCCAAGATTATGCTTTATTACAACAAAAGAGAGTGTCTTAAGCTCCATACATATAAAGCCTTAGGCTTGTACAAATATTGAATACAAAACAACAAAATAGAGTCTTCAGCTTCCAAGTCCTCCCAAACTAAGTTCTCGGAGGAGGCATGTCATCAGCACCTGAAAATGGTTTTCCAAGTAGGGTGAGTCAAAACCCAGTAGAAATAATCTAACATAATATATGAATATTAATAAAGATATAAGTATGATGCGCATGTTCAATGCCCGAATGACAAATCCCTTTACAACTTTCTCCAAAACCATGTTATGTCAAACTTACATCTCAATCCATTAGTTATACTGTGACGACCCAAACTTGCTAATTATGATTTTAATTAATTAATTATGTGTTAATTCTAACTGAACTAAGTGCCTAGTAATTTAATTTGTGCATATCTGTCCAAATTGGAAAAATTACATGTTAAGGTTACAACTTTGAAACTGAAATCGACAATCTTATTGGATACACAAATTGAAATTGAGTACATGGATGGGCTTATGAGAATTTTTAGAGCCATTTAGAAAATTTAATTGAAAATTGATTCAGTTTACTGAAATTGTCTGTGATTGAATTGAACCTTAATTGGAACTATTAATTGTGTTCCTACATGTTAATTATGTGATTAAGTGTTTTTTATTGTTATGAGATTTATTGACTTTGAATAGATAAGTTAGAATGAAAATTAAACCTGTCCGGTCTTCTAATTTTAACAAGTTAGAATTAAATAATTGGATAGGAATTAGAGCCTAATTCATCTTAATATAATTTAACTTAGTGTAGTTAAGATTATAAGATGATGAGATTAATTTAATTTGAGTCAAGTTGATTTTAATTAATTTATTTAGTTTAATTAATTTGAGTTTAATGCATTTTACTCATCAAAAGAATATAGAAGATAGAACTAGTGAATATTGTTGGGTAGTCTTACATTATACACGTAGAGAGTGCTGGAAAATTTATAAAGAGGTAGTTGTGAATTGAAATAGACTCCATTTTGAATGAAAGGGTGTAACCAAAGGGTTAGCACTTGGAAACATGCCGATTTCCTTTGCCGGAATTACGTCTTGAACGGACTTGACAACACATTATACAACGTCTACAGTCCAATCAAGACAGCAAAGGAACTTTGGAAATCGTTGGAGAAAAAGTACAAAACGGAAGATGCCGGCTCAAAGAAATTTGTGGTTGGCAGATTCTTGAATTTTGTAATGGTTGATTCAAAAACTATGATCAGCCAAGCTCAAGATTTCCAACTCATTCTGCATGACATTCACACAGAAGGCATGTCTCCTAGTGAATCCTTCCAAGTTGCAGCCTTAATTGAAAAATTACTGTAGACACCCCATTTTTGGCCGACCTTAAGACTCAAACGTCACCGAATGAGCGCTTGGTGATGGTGCATTTTGTGCTCGTTCAGAGGTTTCAGAGTTTCGGCTGCGAGCCTTGCCTCCGGACTTTCGGACTCTTTCATGCTTTGCCTCGGTTTGCGAACCAGGCTCTGTTTTCTCTGTTTTCTCTTCCCAAATGAGCATTATCTTTCATGAGTGTAATGTGGTGGAACATGCTTCAAAAACCAAGAAACGAAAGTCTTCTGGAGGAAGTTCATCACAAGGCTCTAAAGGGGGGGATAATAAAAAGTACAAGTTTAATGGAAAATGTTACATCTGTGACAAAGAAGGACATCGGGCCAAAGATTGCCGTAGCAAAGGCAAAAGCAAAAGAAGAACAAGCAAGAAGCAAGAAGCCTGCTCAAGCCCATATTACCGAAGTGGACAATATTTCCAATGGTGTCGATGACATCAATCTTTCTGCAGTTGTTTCCGAGACAAATCTTGTCGGAAATCCTAAAGAATGGTGGGTGGACACTGGTGCTACTCGCCATATTTGTGCCGACAAAAAGATGTTCACATCTTATTCTATAGTGGACAATGGTGAACAACTTTTTATAGGCAACTCCTCAACTTCCAAAGTTGAAGGACAAGGAAAGATTGTACTCAAGATGACATATGGAAAGGAACTCACTCTCAACAATGTGCTGCATGTACCGGACATTCGCAAGAATTTAGTTTCCGGATCTTTGTTGAGTAAGAATGGGTTTAGGCTAGTTTTTGAAAGTAACAAGTTTGTACTTACCAAAAACGGGATGTATGTAGAAAAATTTTACATGTCTGATGGCCTTTTCAAGTTAAATGTAATGACCATTGTACCCTCAGTTATTAATAATACTACATTTTCTTCTTACTTGCTTGAGTCTTCAAATTTATGGCATAGTAGACTAGGACATGTTAATTATGGATCTTTGCGTAGATTAATTAATATGGAATGTTTACCTAAATTTAACATTGATTCAAATCATAAATGTGAAGTTTGCGTTGAGGCAAAATTACCTAAAACTCCTTTTCATTCAATTGAAAGAAGTACGGAACCACTTGAATTAATTCATAGTGACATTTGTGATTTTAAATCAATTCAAACTAGAGGTGAGAAAAAGTATTTTATCACTTTTATAGATGACTATACTAGATATAGTTATGTTTATTTAATTCGAACCAAGGATAAAGTTTTGGAAACTTTCATTCAATATAAGAATGAAGTTGAAAATCAACTTAGTAAGAAAATTAAGAAACTTAGAAGTGATAGAGGTGGTGAATATAAATCACCTTTTGGTGAGTTTTGTAAGAACATGGAATAATTCATCAAACCACCGATCCGTACTCACCTCAGCAAAATGGAATTGCTGAGAGGAAAAATAAGACTTTCAAAGAAATGATGAATGCCATGTTAATCAGTTCTGGATTACCTTAGAACTTGTGGGGGGAAGCAATACTTTCTGCTAATTATATTTTAAATAAAGTACCCCGAAAGAAAGTGAATCAAACACCTTATGAATTGTGGCATGAAAGAGTACCATCCTACAAATACTTAAAAGTGTGGGGGTGCTTGGTTAAAATGGCTATTCCTAGTCCTAAAAAGACTAAGATAGGTCCTAAGACCATTGATTGCATTTTCATTAGTTATGCTAAGAATAGTAGTGCATATCGGTTTTTGATTATTAAATCAGAACATACTGAAATGCATGTAAATACTGTTATTGAGTCTCGGAATGCATCATTTTTTGAACATGTATTTCCAAATAAGACTGGACAAGAGACTAGAATAATAAGAGATCTTTTGATGCTATTACTAGTTATGATCAAGAACATGATAAAGAGCAAGAGTTAGATCAAAATGAGGAAGATGAACCTAGGCGTAGTAAACGTGCTAGAACCTCAAAATCTTTTGGTCTAGATTTCCTAACATTTTTGTTAGAAAATGAGCCTTTAACTTTTAAAGAGGCTATGTTCAGTCCTGAAGCTCCTTTATGGAAAGAAGCTGTCAATAGTGAGGTTGAATTCATCTTGCAAAATCACACTTGGGAATTGGTGGATTTGCCACCAGGTTGTAAACCTCTTGGATATAAGTAAATTTTCAAAAGAAAATTGAAAGGGGATGGATCAATTGACAAATACAAGGCAAGACTTGTGGTCAAAGGTTTTAGACAAAAAGAAGGTCTTGATTACTTTGACACATACTCACCGGTTACTAGAATCACATCCATTAGAATGCTAATTGCCATTGCATCTCTATACAATCTAGAAATTCATCAAATGGATGTTAAAACCGCTTTCTTAAATGGTGAGTTAAATGAAGAAATTTACATGGAACAACCAGAAGGGTTTTCTGTTCCAGGGAAAGAAAAGAAAGTGTGTAAATTAGTTAAATCATTATATGGTTTAAAACAAGCGCCAAAGCAATGGCATGAGAAATTTGACAACAGTTGTTTCCGAGGCAAATCTTGTCGGAAATCCTAAAGAATGGTGGGTGGACACTGGTGCTACTCGCCATATCTGTGCCGACAAAAAGATGTTCACATCTTATTCTATAGT